GCAGCATCTTGATAAGCCTAGGAAAGCCTTCTATGTAGTAAGGTCGATTTATGTGATAAAGGAAACATATGCTTACATTGCTATCACCAGACAATAGTGGGGCAATCTTCTTGCTACTTCTTTTGTTTTTTCTATATATTTTTTCATTCCGACACACATATTACCTTGCATCAGTTTTGAGAGACTAACTGGATTTGGGAGAAGAAACGGTATGAGTGGTGGGGCTATGGCGGACTGGTGGGAGTCGAAGAGAGGGGGAAGAGAGTTAAGATACAAAGGAGAAGGGAGGGGCAATGTAGAACTTTGGCATGCATTTTTGGTTAAATTTGTAAGAATAATAAAAAGTAGGCTAAAAATCATCTTGTGGTACAAAATATGGCTAGTTATCCAAATTTCCCAAAAGAATTAGACAATTGTTTTATCTACATTTTAAAAGGGAAAATTTGAAAAAATAACTAAAATTTGGATTTCAAACAGAATTATAGCTATCCTTTGAGATTTGTAATAATTATAACCAAAAGTTGATATGAAAGTACCAATATATCCTTACATAATAATTGTATCAAAATAAAAACTTAGAAAATGGATATTTAAATCTATTTCCACTGCAAGTTCAAAGACAAAACATACCAAAATCATATAATGCAGAAGAGGAATGGCAAATAAAAAATGATACTAAATTCGAAATCGACAAAACCCAGCTTATAGAGAATCATCTTCTTTTTTATGCTAGTTAGATGCCCCAAACTTGTAAAAAAAAAATAATTGTGAAATGTAAACAAATCAATGTGTGTGGTGGGGTGGTGTCGCAGTAAATCTATATGGACATGCTCTCCAAGAGGTATCAGACATGAGTGTTCACAAGTTGGAGCAATCTTCCTCAGTGGTCCACGAGGCATTCGCGGAAACAAATGATGTTCGATAGGTGTTGCCGGAGAAATGACTCGATGTGAACTGGATGTGCTTGAGCGATGTCAATGAAAATGCTGCTAGCACAAACATAATCCTCTCACTGGGCAAACACGAAACGAAGAGAGGAAACCATGTCTAGAAAACTAGGATACCCATGATGTTCAATCCTTTGTTCGGGACATTCTGCCTCGAAAACAAGAGCAAGATGTCTGGACAAACAAATTAACCCTCCCCACCACCTTAACCAGATAACAAGTTTTGTTTATCACGCACAAATCAAACTGAGAAAATCCTTGTGTTTGAGTTCTTTTAGATTTGTATTCAAACACTCTCCTTATCTCTTAATTTCTATTTTAAGGTATATTAGTATTTTTATATCAATTTTTTGTTATAATTATCATAAACTTAAAATTGTGGCTATAATTCTCAATGGGATCTAAATTTTGGTTATTTTTTCAAATTTTCCTTTTAAAAGCTTGCCACACAATCAATTTTGTGCATGTTTGAGACTGTTTATGAAACCATTAAAAGTGTTTTTGGGCAGTCTAGTACGAGATAGAAAACGTAATAGTGAATTTGAGTTATAGAAATACTTTATGGAAAAGCACATGTCAAATAATTTTTTAGGAAACACCTCCAAATATCTTTTTATGAGTAATATAATTTTGGCTTTTTAGCCAAAATGGTCATTGAGATTTGCCTAACTCTTCTGTAGACATCGAAATTTCGGTAAATAAATGTTGATCGATAAATCAAAGTTTCAACGCTCATGTATTACATAAATTTTACACGTAGCGTGTGACTCGACGAAAAATTGAAATGAGTTGGAAAAGTCATCAAACCGGACACGTGTCAACACCTGGCAGAAACGACTTATTTCATCTGGAATATTATATTCAAAATTAGGCCTTGGAAATTTCTATAAATAGAAGGCTAATTCATTCATTTGAAAGGGACCAAAATCATTAGACAAAACTCTTGAAGCTCTGAAGCTCTGAAACTCCGAAGCTCTCAAGCATCCAGGTTCCCGAAGAATCAAGAAAGCTCTCTTCGTTCTTCATTCTTCGTTCATCATTCATCCTAAGATCAAGCCCAAACGGCCTTTTGGATCAACAATCATCCACCAATTCAAGATCAAGCCTCGATGGCCCTTGAAGAAAGTGTTCTTCGTTCTTCGTTCTTCGTTCTTCCAAGATCAAGCCCCGACGGCCCTTGGATCAACAATCCACCAATTCAAGATCAAGCCCCGACGGCCCTTGAAGAAAGTGTTCTTCGTTCTTCGTTCATCGTTCTTCTAAGATCAAGCCCCAACGGCCCTTTGGATCAACAACATCACCAAATCCACACAATTGTTCATCCTAAGATCAAGCCCCAACGACCCTTTGGATCAACAACATCAACAAATCCACACATCCAACCGTTCTTCAAGATCAAGCCCAAAGCCCTTGAAGATCCGTTCATCACTGTTCTTCAAGATCAAGCCCAAAAGCCCTTGAAGATCTGTTCATCACCGTTATTCAAGATCAAGTCTCAACGACCCTTGAAGAACTCATCCTCAAGATCAAGCCCTAACGGCTCCTTGAAGATTCGCTCAAATCCACCTTCAAAGATCAAGCCCACGACCCTTGAAGAAACTTCCAACAGTTCATCCAAAATCAAGCCTCAACGGCCCTTGGATCAACGAAACATCCACAAATCAACACCTTATGGAGATCGAATCAGATGATCAAATTTGAGAGAGATTGTAACCCAAAATCATCAAAATACTAATACTATTTTGTGCACGTTGTTCTTGTCTCTTTTGTTTCGAGAATTTTTCGTGTTCACATCTTCACTTTGGTCTCTGAGATTTGAAATCAATAGAAGTAGTCCCTGAGATTGTCCAACATCAATCATTTTGGTCATTCGGTGAAAAATTATGTTAAATAAGAATCCAAATAACAAAATTACCCTCAATATAATAAACAATAGTCCAAAATGATTTGACAAAAATTAAGGGTATTTGTCACACCTCGGTCCTAAAAATATATTTTTGGGAATAATCCCGTTAATAGGCTGAATTTGAGAATCATAAATAATTTACTTCCATTTATCACCTTTCATTACTTAAATAACTCATTCACATACAAAACTATCAATATTAAATAAATATCAAAACGTATAGTTACAATACCAAATTGATGTAATAACATTAATTATTATACTTTATAAAAATTTCTTCATTTCCAATATGATTCATAAACATTATTATTTTATCAACCATACAATTATAATCTCAAGATATTTCCATTTTCGTTCAATTGACCAATGTTCTCAAAAGAAGAATAATTCTCAATTGAAGGAAAATTCTCGATTATTTAAGGCTGCATCTAACACTGTTAGACTGCCTCCGTACCTTTGAACGGGATCAAGCCTTTTGTAGTTCACCTTTCAAAAATTCAACCAAATCCCAAATATATTCCATTAATCCAACATATACCACAATCGTATTAATATCCAAACCTCAGTAGTTAGTTCTCAGAAATATAATTAAAATAACGAAATTTGGCATAAAACACAATGTCGGCTTTCTGGCTGTGCGCCGCTGTGGGTGGCGGTCGGCCACCCCAGCTCGTCGGAAAATTCAACTATTTCTAAAAATTCCCAAAAATTACAGAAATGAAGATCTCAAAGAGTAGAGCAAACTTTATACATGCGGCAACCAATTTGGCCGGGAAAAGCTCTAATTTAACTAAAACCCGATGGAACCCTAGAAATTGGTGGCCTCGAATTCTCAACTACGGTGCTCCACCGCCCTTACCATGGTTTGGGCTTTGTTTTAGGCCTCAAGGGGAGCCCAGCAATGGTGGTAATTGGAAGGAAACCTTTCACAATTGTTTAAAATCGAGCAAGGTTTCTGCGGCACCCGTGAGGGGTTTTCCCCAATTCTAAGACCAATTTAACTCCAATTTGTGATGGAATAGGTAAAAGAGATGATGAGAGATAACTTTTAGGTGGTGGGGGACCTTAATTTCGTCGAAAATTGGTCGGGAGACCATAAATCTCGCCGGTTATGTCTCACGGGTCAAAAGACCCGTTTTTCCCCCCTTTCCTTCTTTCTCCCTCCTTTCTTCCTTTTCTGATTGGGCTGTGCCCATTTCCTCCACTCACCATCCGCCACGTGGCTACACACACCCTACTCCAAAAGATCTGGAGCTCTCCAGAAATGGTCAAATGACCATTTCGTCCCTGACTTTGTTTGTTTATAACTTTTTCGTTATAACTCTGTTTCACGAACGGTTTAGGCCTACGCGTTTGTAAGATCGAGCTCTAATAAAAATATAAATTGTGACCTCGAAGGGTCTATGAATTTTAAATAATAAATTCCCCAAACTTGAAACTTCGTAACCAGTTTACTTTAAGACTAATCTCAAACAAATTAATATAATTTCTCGAAAAATAACCTAAAATCTTAATAATACTAATACGTAGATTATCATAATTACTAGAAACAAAACTTTACAATTTTCCCAATTTTATTTTCGTACCCGTAAATCGGTTTATTTTCGATTTACTTCACATATTCATATATTTAAATTTTCAGGGTATTACAATATTTTTGTTATTTTATTCTTATTTTATTGAGATTTTTCAAGAAATGGCCAAAATGATTGATGATGGACAAACTCAGGGACTAATTTTATCAAGTTCAAATCTCATGGACCAAAGTGAGAAGTTATGCAAATCTCAAGAATCATTTTGGCCAAAAAACATATAGTTTTTAATAAAATTTGAACTTGTTTTCAATAAAACCGTTTTTAGAAAATGTCAAAACTTAGCTGTAGTATTTTTTATGGGCTCGTTTGAAAGTATTTTCTATAAGTTTTAAAAGCATTTTAAATGCTTTTTAAAAAAAACACTTCAAATGCTTTTCAATAATTCATTTAAATTTTTAATAAAAATTAGTTTCAAAAAAATTTCACAAAACTATTTTAAAATCATTTCTAAACAAGCCGTAGATAAGTACCGGCAGGTCGTGTTTATCGCTAGAACCCAATTTGAGGCCCGACCCGAATATTTGACTTATTAACCCGACTCGGATGTTAATCGGAAACCCTCTCATTTCATTTTTCTTTTGGCCCGACTCAATCTTCTTCTTCCTTTCCGAGCGAACGAACGAAGCCTGCAACTACTGTTGCTCAAGTTGACGTTTTTCAGTTTTTACTCGTGCGGATTAGGGTTTTGCTTGGCTGCCCAGAAAATTTGAAGGGTAAGAAATAAAATCTGTTTACGTTTTTGCTTTGTACTGAACAAGTTGAAAATTTTGATGGGAATGACTTACTGTCGTGATTGTTTCAGGGACACTGTTGTGTGACTGAGGTCGAGAGGAAGCATTCGAGAACAATGAGCATTGTGCCCAAAGAGAATGTTGAAGTAATTGCACAAAGCATTGGAATCAGCAACTTGTCTCCAGATGTTGCTCTTGCTCTCGTCCCCGATATCGAATACCGCCTCCGTGAGATCATGCAGGTAAATTTTCAACTTTTCCGGCGCAATTCTGATATGGGGTTTTGACATTGTTGTTGTCAATCGTTTGAGGTTGTACTAGTAAAATTGGTAAAGTTTGGGAATTGGGTTTACTTGTTTATGTGGTAAAATTTAGATTTGTTTTGATTAGTTGGTCAACAAGATAGTGCAATTATGTTATTTTGTGGGATTTGAGACATTGGAGGGTTGAGTGTGATTTTTCCTTGTAATGGAAGTGCAGGAGGCTATTAAATGCATGCATCACTCGAGGAGAACTAGATTGACAGCCGAAGATGTTGATGGTGCACTCAACTTAAGAAATGTTGAGGTGGGGCTTTAAAATGATTGAATTAGCATGTGTGTGTTTATTATTTGAAATCTCATTTTGCTTATCCTGCTTGCACCAGCCAATCTATGGTTATGTTTCTGGAGGTCCTTTGCGGTTCAAAAGAGCTATTGGGCATAGGGATTTGTTTTACATTGACGACAAGGATGTGGATTTTAAAGATGTGTGTTACTGAGCAATCTGATTTCACTTTCTGTTTGATTTTGTATGTTTCCTTTTCATTTTCCATATTTATGTTTGACTGTAGGTGATTGAAGCTCCTTTACCAAAAGCACCGCTTGATACTGGAATTGTTTGTCACTGGCTTGCTATAGAAGGTGTACAACCTGCAATTCCAGAGAATGCTCCTCTAGAAGGTTTTTCTCGAAGTTTATAGATTATGCTAATAATTATTACTCATAAATCAAACTTCCAATATAGGAGTTTTGATTGCTTTTGAAGGTTAATTAGTATTCTAGGAATTAGCTGTAGTAAAAGAAAGCATTCTATGAGTTTTGTAGCACTATCTAGACTTTAAAGTTGTGTGAAGCATAAAATGCCTAATATCTTCCTTCTTAAAAAATACTCGGTATATCAACTTCTTTAAAAAATACTCAGTATCTCCAATATACCAGAGATTTTTCATGATCTTGTGAGTGGAAGGTGGTCTGCAGTGTATTTCACATTCTTATTTTTTGTTTGTCTGGAATTCAATCTACATAAATTGTATGGTGAAATGAATCTTCTATTCACTGATAAATCTTTTTTGATATAATTATGAGGAACTAGAGTTAACTCCATTTTCGACTTTTCTACTTTTGTTAGCCCAAGTTTGTCTCACTTATTGAGTTTTTGTTCTTCTTCTGTAGTACTTGCACCTCCTTCTGATGGTAAAATTTATAACCAAAAGGATGATGGACTTCCCGTTGACATTAAATTACCTGTTAAGCACATCTTATCTAGGGAGCTTCAGGTACATATTTCCCTTGTCTGATCTTATACTGGAAGTACTTCAGTTTGCAGCTTGTTTACATGTTCCTTCTTTTTGTTGCCTTTGCAGCTATATTTTGACAAAATCACCGAGCTTGTTGTGAGTAGATCTGATTTGGTTTTGTTCAAAGAAGCATTAGTGAGTTTGGCCACTGATTCGGGACTTCATCCATTAGTTCCTTATTTCACATGCTTTATCGCTGATGAGGTGATGATTCTTGACACTATCACTGACAGCTACAAGAAGAGTATGATATGTAGCCATTGGTTATTTATACCAACCTTTCTTAACATATATCAGGTTTCTCGTGGCTTGAATGATTATGCACTTCTATTCGCTTTAATGCGAGTTGTTCGGAGTCTTCTCCAAAATCCTCACATACACATAGAACCTTATGTAAGTGCTTCTTTCTTCTTTCTTCTTTGTTTCTTTTTTTTCCATAGGAGAGCCTTATGTGAGTAGTTTAAGTTCTAATTGTCTATTAAGGTATTTATAGTCATGTGTACATCTTGATAATGATGTCTAAGTTGAATTCTGTAATTTTGACGATTATGGAGGCTGATTGTAGTATATCACCTATACTTTTTCTGGCCTTTTTCCTGCCCCTTTTCAGTTCCTTTCTAATAAATGAACAAATCTGCAGTCGTTGTTTTTCTATATGCATGTATTGGTAATCATAGTTTATCATCTTTGAACTCATGCTATTTATGTCAAAGGGGTTCTCTTGTCTGGACTCAGTTTTTCATCACGAGACTGAAGCATGTAAGGTGGTGATCAGGGTAAAATGTATTACTTATATGGAAGTTTTATTCTGAGACTTTAATTTTTTCCCGTTCCTTTTGGCTCTTGATCAGCTGCACCAATTGATGCCATCTGTGGTCACTTGCCTTGTTGCGAAAAGGTTAGGCAACAGGTTTGCTGACAATCATTGGGAACTTAGAGACTTCACTGCAAACCTAGTTGCTTCAATCTGCAAAAGGTTAGGCTTGTTATTTTTGTTTAAATGCATTTTACCTTCATGCTTTTCTTTCACCTGGCCTGCTTCCCTTTTCTTGCACTTTCTCTGGCATCTCTTCTTGAGATATCACCTACTTTTCTCTTGTGACTTGACCTCGGTCACGTCCTTTTCACACTTTTGTGATCCTGGTGTATTAAGTAACTTAACATAGGTTGAGTGCATATTCTATTCAGATTCTTGTTAATATTTATGTTTTTTCTCTACATTATGTTAAGTGAAACTGAGCTAGCATATTCAATGCTATCAATCTGCCTAGCATAACTGTTGTTTTAAAAATTTCTCCTGACCATGGAAGCAGAGCTCTGTATTTTCTCTTAAAATTCCATGCATATATTTTGGTGTGAATTTGTCATCTTACCTATGAGATTCAATATTTGAATCTGTTGCAGGTTTGGGCATGTATATAACACTCTCCAGTCGCGTCTTACAAAAACTTTGGTCAATGCATTTTTGGACCCAAAGCGGACATTGACTCAACACTATGGTGCAATTCAAGGTTTAGCTGCTCTAGGGCCCAGTGTGGTAAGGCCTCATGCTCCATGCAACTAAGAACATCAGTTCACCATTATGCACAAAGCCTATGTAAAGGAGTTTTGGAATATGAATTCAACTTGAAGTAATATCTCTCGTGTTTCTTCCCATAAGTTTCTGTTAGCCTATCCTTGTTATCTATTTTCATACATTGAAAGGAGAATCTATACTTGTAAATAAAGCTAGCTGGATCCGGGCCCAGGTTTTCCTGTGTCTGCAACTGGATTATCTTTATTACTCTTTATTCTGAGTCTGAGTCCTAGAAGTTCAATATGGTGGAATGGAAGATATTTGCAACACCTTTTCTCTTTTCCTAATGACTTGTACTTAAATGAAGGCATTGTAGTAAAACAAATCTAGAAAAGAGAGAGACATTACTCCATGCAACATATGAACTCTTATTCTTCCAAAGTTCATTTACCCCGCTTTTCTAGGTTATAGTGATTTCTGGATCTTTTTTTCATTGGAAATCTACTTCCATTATTTACTCATCTTCAGATATTTGTGTTTTCTCGGAATATGCATTTTTTTTAACTCAAAAGAAAGGATTCTCAACTGTTGGGTGATTATTTTTTACTATAGGTTCGCCTTCTTGTACTGCCAAATCTGGAGTCATATCTGCGACTACTTGAACCAGAGCTGCTTCTTGACAAGCAAAAGAATGAGATGAAGAGGCATGAAGCGTGGCGTGTGTATGGAGCCTTGTTGGTGAGTCTCCTTTCATGCCTGTATGTATATACTGTTTGAAAAATCTAAGGCTTCCTAATGAGAGCATGCACTTTTCCAGAATGCAGCAGGTCAATGCATATATGATAGGCTCAAGATGTTCCCACTTATGTCGTCTCCAACGCCGCAATCTTTTTGGAGGGCCCATGGAAAACTTCGTATTACTCTGCCAAGTAAGACATTCAATGGCTTATGTTTTCTTAAATGATGGCACTTCAACCACTTTGAATGAGTAAGGAACCTTAACGGGAAAATCTATGGAAGTAGTGGAAGTTATGGTGAGGAGAAGGATAAATATTATGTGCCTACAAGAAACTAAGTGGGTTGGTAGTAAGGCAAAGGATCTAGAAAACTCAGGGTTTAAACTTTGGTATTCGGGCACAAATAGAACGAGAAACGGTGTTGGCATCATCGTGGACAAGACCTTGGTACAAGATGTTGTAGATGTCAAGAGGGTAGGAGATAGAATCATGGCAATCAAGATTGTAATAGGACAAGAACTTATCAATGTGATTAGTGCGTACGCACCTCAAGTAGGGTTGGATACGAGTTCGAAGGAGAAATTTTGGGAAGATCTTGGAGACTTGGTGCAAGGAATTGCTCAGACGGAGAAGTTATTTATAGGAGGAGATTTAAATGGACACGTGGGCAGGGAGACAGGCAACTATGGAGGTTTTCATGGTGGCCATGGTTTTGGGGAGAGAAACGAGGATGGGGAAGCTATCTTGGATTTTGCAATGGCATATGATCTCTTCTTAAGAGGTCGCACTTGGTGCGATGGCAAGTGCCTTCGCCCATGAGCGGTAGGTCTCGGGTTCGAGACTTGGGAGCAGCCTCTCCATAAAATGGGGGTAAGGCTAGCCGACATTCACCTCTCCCAGACCCTGCGTAAAGCGGGAGCCTTGTGCACTGGGTACGACCTATATGATCTCTTCTTAGCCAACACCTTCTTTAAGAAGAGAGAAGAACATGTGATCACCTACAAGAGTGGGTCGTCAAAAACACAAATAGATTTTCTTCTAATGAGGAAAGGGGATCGTATAACTTGTAAGGATTGCAAAGTTATACCAGGAGAGAGCGTGGCTAATCAACATCGCTTGTTGGTGATGGATGTACATATCAAAAGAGTAAGACAAAAGAACAAGACTTGGAAGTGCCCAAGGACTAGATGGTGGAATCTAAAAGAAGAAAAACAAGCCATTTTCAAAGAGAAGGTAATCACCCAATGTGTGTGGGATAGAGAGGGGGAAGCTAGCCAAATGTGGGATTCCATGGCTAGTTGTATCCGAAAAGTAGCAAAAGAGGTATTAGGAGAGTCCAAGGGCTTTGCCCCACACCAAAAGGAATCTTGGTGGTGGAATGAGGAGGTACAAACAAAGGTGAAGGCTAAGAAGGAATGTTGTAAAGCCTTATACAAGGAGAGGACTGATGAAAATGGTGAAAGGTATAGAAAAGCGAAGCAAGAGGCGAAGAAAGCTGTCAGAGAAGCTAAGTTAGCGGCTTACGACGATATGTATAAACGACTAGATACCAAAGAAGGAGAGTTGGATATCTATAAACTATCTAGAGCAAGGGAAAAGAAGACAAGGGACCTAAACCAAGTGAGGTGCATCAAGGATGAGGATGGAAAGGTTCTTGCTACAGAGAACGCGGTTAAAGACAGATGGAGAGGTTATTTTCATAATCTTTTCAATGAAGGACATGAAATGAGTGCTTCTTTAGGGGAGTTGAGTAACTCAGAAGAGTGTAGAAAACTACTCTTTTTATCGTCGAATCCGGAAGGAAGAAGTAGTTGTAGCTTTGAAGAAGATGAAGCATAAAAAAGCAATAGGCCCAGACGATATACCAATCGAAGTGTGGAAACTTTTGGGAGAGACAGGTATAACATGGCTCACTGACCTTTTCAATAGGATTTTGAAAACGAAGAAGATGCCAAATGAGTGGCGAATGAGCACTTTGGTGCCTATCTACAAGAATAAGGGCGACGTACAAAATTGCATGAACTATAGGGGTATTAAGCTAATGAGTCATACAATGAAGCTCTGGGAGAGAGTCATTGAGCATAGATTGAGGCAAGAGACACGGGTTTCGGACAACCAATTCGGGTTCATGCCAGGGCGCTCAACCATGGAGGCAATCTATCTCTTACGAAGATTGATGGAAAGATATAGAGATGGGAAAAAGGATTTACACATGGTCTTTATAGATTTGGAAAAAGCGTATGATAGGGTCCCAAGAGACATTCTTTGGAGGATTTTAGAGAAGAAAGGAGTACGAGTAGCATATATCCAAGCTATAAAGGATATGTATGAAGGAGCAAAGACTGCCGTAAGAACTCATGAAGGACAAACCGAAAGCTTTCCCATAACTGTAGGATTACATTAAGGCTCATCCCTAAGTCCTTACCTTTTTGCGTTGGTAATGGATGAGTTAACACGACATATTCAAGATGATATTCCTTGGTGTATGCTTTTCGCAGACGATATAGTGTTGATAGATGAAACTCAGGAAGGGGTAAATGCAAAGCTTAACCTTTGGAGAGAAGTGTTGGAATCTAAAGGTCTTCGCCTAAGCCGATCAAAGACAGAATATATGGAGTGCAAGTTCAGTGCAAATGGAGGTCAAAACGAGTTAGGGGTGAGGATCGGAGATCAAGAAATACCAAAGAGCGACCGTTTTCGTTACCTAGGATCTATCTTGCAAAAGAACGGAGAATTAGATGGAGATCTCAACCATAGAATACAAGCTGGATGGATGAAGTGGAAGAGTGCATCCGGCGTGTTTGTGTGACCGCCGTATGCCACTGAAGCGCAAGGGAAAATTTTATAGGACGGCAATAAGGCCGGCGATGCTGTATGGCACAGAATGTTGGGCGGTGAAACATCAACACGTACACAAAATGGGTGTAGCGGAGATGAGGATGCTTCGTTGGATGTGTGGGCACACGAGAAAGGATAAGATTAGGAATGAGGATATCCGGGGTAAAGTAGGAGTAGCCGAAATTGAAGGAAAGATGAGAGAAAATCGGTTACGGTGGTTTGGACATGTGCAAAGAAGGCCTACTGACGTTCCGATTAGAAGATGCGACTATGGGACAGAGGTTCAGGGCCGAAGGGGTAGAGGAAGACCTAGGAAAACTTTGGAAGAGACTCTAAGAAAAGACTTAGAGTACTTAGATCTAACGAAGGACATGACACAGGATCGAGCACAATGGCGTTCTAAGATTCATATAGCCGATCCCACTCAGTGACTTGGATTTTCCAAGTCTCCAACTGAGAAGTTTTCCTCACTCGGGAAATTAAGGGAACACTACCCCAACCTACATGCTCCACTCAGAAAGCTTCAACATACAAGCTTTAACAAAAGAAAAATTCAAAGAACTTAGCGAAGAAGGCTTTGGTGTATTTAACACAATACGTTGAAATGAAGGAAAGCTTATTTATTGATATCCCCGATAAGCTACAAATATGTACATATACATGAGTCAAAATAAGCACACAAGAGGGAGCCTTCACAAAGGTTGCTTAGGAGAAGTCTCAGCAGTCGGTAGAGCCCCAGAAAAGAGAAGGCACCGGAGGGGGATCATTTGGAGCCTCAGTACTGGACAGAACCCTAGAAGGAGGAGGCATCAGAGGTTGATCATTTGGAGCTTCATTACGCGGTACAGCCCCAGAAGACGAAGGCAATAAATGCCTTTGGAACAAAACCCACAAATCTCTGATGATCAAGTAAAACCTGACCATCAGTTTCCTTCATCTGGTCAAGCTTCCTCTTCATGTTTGTAGCATAGTCATGTGCGAGCCGGTGCAACTGTTTATTCTCATGCTTGAGCCCTCTAATCTCCTGTTTGAGACTCATCACTTCAGCCGCCAATGATTCAACTTGGCGGGTTCGAGCAAATAGGCGTTGGGCCATATTAGACACAGAACCTGCACACTGAACACTGAGAGCCAGCGAATCCTTAACAGCTAACTCATCAGACCGTTTGGAAAGTAGTCTGTTATCTTTGGGAGTGAGAAGGTTCCTGGCCACCACCGCAGCGGTCATATCATTCTTCATCACGGAATCCCCAACGGTAAGAGGACCAGTAGGGGAGACGAAGGATGGGCGCCATATGTTGTCTGGAGAAGGCGGGGCTGCCTCTTCAACAAGGTTCAAGTCAAAACGACGGTCGGAGGGGCCAGACATTTTCAAAGGTGTTGAAGAGAGAAGAGGTCGGACAAATCAAGATCTTAGAAGTGCAAGAATGAAGCTTCTACTGGTGGAGATTCAAGTGTGCTTTGGAACTTAATGCCAGCCCCTATAAAAATCTGCACTCGACGAAGCTTCAGAAATCGAAGAGGCGCCTGCTCAGAAATCGAAGAGGCGTTTGCTTTCTCAAAAGCTGGGCTGCTTAGAGATCACGAGGGTTGATCTCAGAAATCGAAGAAGAGGCGTTTGCTTTCTCAAAAGTTGGGCTGCTCAAAGACCACGAAGGCCGATCTCAAAAATCGAAGAGGCGCTCGCTTTCTCAAAAAGCTGGGCTCCCCAGAGACCACGAGGGCCGATCTCAGAAATCGAAGAGGCACCTACTTTTCCAGCCTTTTCCAGCCTTGTCAGCACCTGTCACACGCACACTCAGTTTTGCGGAAATTATGGGCATTCTGTCAAAGACTTCTGGGGAAGTAGAAAACACATGAATCTTACTGTTCAATCACCCACTTCCCACACGCAACAATAGCTCATGGGTACCACAGATAACTTTGCCAAAGTTCTCTGCCAAAGTTGAGCACGTGAAGCTTGCAGCTCCCACTACATCGCTCTGACCAAGAAGGGTAAAAGAATAGCAAAGAAACAGCACTAACAAAGTTTAGACCCATAAATTTTGAAGGTCTAGCTACCATATTATTACCCACAAGGGTAAAGGAACAGTACCACTGCTGGATAATTGGAAAGTCCCTGTGTGTTAACCTCTGTGCTTCGTGGCAAGGTAGACTAGCAAACATGCCCAACCTTTACTCACATTCGAGAAAACACTCCCAATAAGATTGCTTGCTCCAAAATCGAAGAGGCACCGTCCTCCGAATCTCGAGAGCCAGACTCCCAACATGACTACTTTCTTAAAAAATCGAAGAGAGGGTAAAGGAACAGTACCATTGCTGGATAATTGGAAAGTTCCTGTGTGTCAACCTCTGTGCTTCGTGGCAAGGTAGACTAGCAAACATGCCCAACCTTTACTCACATTCGAGAAAACACTCCCAACAAGATTGCTTGCTCCAAAATCGAAGAGGCACTGCCCTCCGAATCTCGAGAGCCAGACTCCCAACATGATTACTTTCTCAAAAATCGAAGAGACACTGCTCCCCGAATCTCGAGAGCCAGACCCCCAGCATGATTGCTTTCTCAAAAATCGATGAGGCATCGTTCTCCGAATCAATCGAAGAGGCGCTCGCTTTCTCAAAAGCTGGGCTGCTCAGAGACCACGAGGGCCGATCTCAGAAATCGAAGAGGCACCTACTTTTCTAGCCTTGTCAGCACCTGTCACACGCGCACACTCAGCTTTGCAGAAATTATGGGCATTCTGTCGAAGACTTCTGGTGAAGTAGAAAGCACATGAATCTTACTGTTCAATCACCCACTTCCCAACACGCTCAACCAACAAATAGCTCATGGGTACCACATAATTGCCAAAGTTCTCTGCCAAAGTTGAGCACGTGAAGCTTGCAGCTCCCACTACATCGCTCTGACCAAGAAAGGTAAAAGAATAGCAAAGAAACAGCACTAACACAAAGTTTAGACACATAAATTTTGAAGGTCTAGCTACCATATTATTACCCACAACTGTAAAGGAACAGTACCACTGCTGGATAATTGGAAAGTCCCTGTGTGTCAACCTCTGTGCTTCGTGGCAAGGTAGACTAGCAAACATGCCCAACCTTTACTCACATTCGAGAAAACACTCCCAATAAGATTGCTTGCTCCAAAATCGAAGAGGCACCGTCCTCCGAATCTCGAGAGCCAGACTCCCAACATGACTACTTTCTCAAAATCGAAGAGAGGGTAAAGGAACAGTACCATTGCTGGATAATTGGAAAGTCCATGTGTGTCAACCTTTGTGCTTCGTGGCAAGGTAGACTAGCAAACATGCCCAACCTTTACTCACATTCGAGACAACACTCCCAACAAGATTGCTTGCTCCAAAATCGAAGAGGCACCGCCCTCCGAATCTCGAGAGCCAGACTCCCAAAATGATTACTTCCTCAAAAATCGAAGAGACACTGCTCTCCGAATCTCGAGAGTCATACCCCCAGCATGATTGCTTTCTCAAAAATCGAAGAGGCATCGTTCTCCGAATCTCGAGAGCCAGATACCACAGACCACTTTTTCAAAGTGCTCTGACAGAGTTAAAACATGTGAAACTGGCAGCTCCCACTACCGTGCTATGACCAAGCAGGGTAAAGGAATAGCATTACTACTTGTTGTTAGGGAGACTCCTATATATGTCGACCTCCATCCCCAACGGACAGGCAGACCTGCAAAAATGCTCAACCCTTCATCATATCTGAGAGGGCACTCCCAACGAAGCCTTTCGAAATATTCAGCTTTCTTTCCCCCCGATAATACCTCTGCAAACAAGCTATACTAGAGCAAGAATATCTCATATCATCAGGGTTAAAAGCAAGAGTATCCCATATCATGCTTTTTCCCTGTCTTTTCTTTTGGCCTTGTTTTTACCTGCAAGACAAGGAGAAAGAGAGCAATCAGTCAGCACTTGGAATCAAGCTCCCAGCCAGGAACTGACTGCCTGGAACCCCTTACCTGATTACTTACCTGGCATTGCTCTCGAGTACTCATCTTCAACATCTTATGTTTCCAGGGAAGATTCCGCATCTGCTGCTTGAGGAACAGATAGGGCAAGTGCGAAGGATACAAGGAAGCATGTGGAGACAAGCGTAACAGCACACGTGCCGATACATTCATTACTCTGTCAAAAGCAAAAGTATCCCATATCAGCAGGGTGGAACGTACTCTAGATTTGATGGACTTGTTTTGACCCTCAAATTCTTCAGTCGGCCTTATACTCTGGAGGAAACCAGAAAACCCTCCAGCTCAGTTCAAGAATAAGCCTGTGGAAAGTTACTTCTTCAAAAGCAAAAGTATCTCATATCATCTCTTCTCATTTTTTCTTCTCTTTATCCTTCATGCTGCTGCAAGATGGGGAGAAGGTGAACAATCAGTCGGAGCTCTGATTGCTTACCTTGTCTGTCACCTCTTTCAGCAGACCCCCTAGCTCGGCGACTTGGGGGACTCCTACTACATGGTTTGTATCGCGCTTGACCAAGCCTGAAACTACAAGTAAGCTTCAAGTGAAATTGATACATTACCTTGTGCATCTCCACCAGTTAAAGATACCACCCCTGGATGGAGGAAGAGTACTTCCAGAGAAGATGCCACATCTACCTATGAGACAGATAAGGCAAGTCAAGACGACACCACACTCCGATACTTAGAAGTTTCGTGACTACGAGATCATTCTCCCACAATATTTCCTAATGTCATTTGTACTAAATCATTCACTTGTACTCACTAAATGAGAGCTTGAACCTATGTACTTGTGTAAACCCTTCACAATTAATGAGAACTCTTCTATTCCGTGGACGTAGCCAATCTGGGTGAACCACGTACACATCTTGTGTTTGCTTTCCTATCTCTATCCATTTATATACTTATCCACACTAATGACCGGAGCAATCTAGCGAAGATCACAAAAAGCGATCGTTTTCGCTACCTAGGATCTATCTTGCAAGAGAACGGAGAATTAGATGGAGATCTCAACCATAGAATACGAGCTGGATGGAAAGAGTGCATCCGGCGTGTTGTGTGACCGTCGTAGGCCACTGAAGCTCAAGGGAAAATTTTATAGGACGGCAATAAGGCTAGCGATGTTGTATGGCACAGAATGTTGGGTGGTGAAGCATCAACACGTACACAAAATGGGTGTAGCGGAGATGAGGATGCTTCGTGGGATGTGTGGGCACACGAGAAAGGATAAGATTGGGAATGAGGATATCCGAGGTAAAGTAGGAGTAGCCGAAATTGTAGGAAATATGAGAGAAAATCGGCTCCGGTGATTTTGAACATGTGCAAAGAAGGCCGACTGACGCTCCGGTTCGAAGATGTGACTACGGGACAGAGGTTCAGGGCCGAAGGGGTAGAGGAAGACCTAGGACAACTTTGGAAGAGACTCTAAGAAAAGACTTAGAGTACTTGGATCTAACGGAGGACATGACACAAAACCGAGCGCAATGGCGTTCTAGGATTCATATAGCCGACCCCACTTAGTGGGAAAAGGCTTTGTTGTTGTTGTTGTTGTATACCTTTCTTCTACATCTTTCCCACCATCCTTCCACTCTCCACATCCCTCAAATTTCTCCCTTGTGTTTTGCCTCCATCTCTCACACAAAGTGAAAACCAAAAACCAAAAACAATATCAAAGGGCCCATAAATTGCTAGACTGATTCGTAAGTTTCTTGCAATAGAATAGATGATACTGCTCAAACGGGTATACAAGAAGCATAAGCACTGTCACATATAGCAGTTGAGCACCTTTAAGCTACAAGCCTATTGTATGTTTTCCGATTGTAACACATCAACCATGCAATGGTGCAAGAAAGAGTTTCCGCTTTCCTATCCCCCTGCAATCCCTTTCGGGTATGGGATTCTGCTCTTATATGTACTAGGCTTTGGCCATAATGAAGGAAGCACCCCTTGGAATAGGGTTGCTTGTCCAGGAAGAAGTACCCTTCACTTTTCAAGATTTATTATTTAGATAAAGTCTTAAACACTGATTCTTATGTACATAACCAAGATAAACGCAAGCGAAGTGTGGAACACATGGAAGAGCAACCGCCCCTGCAGAAAATTGCAACTGATGGGCCAACAGATATAGCGATAACTAATTCTTCACCATCTCACATGGAAGTAGACACAGCAGCTCCAGCTCCATCAGGGGATACTGATGCAGGCCCCTCGTCGTCTTCTCAGAAAATGCCGGATGAGAGCATTTCACACGGCACAAGTTCAAGGGGCAAGCCTGCTGGTCAGTCTCTAAAGAAATCAGCTATCCTCACTCAGGTTTGGAAGGATGACTTGAATTCTGGGCATCTCCTAGTGTCGTTGTTTGAGTTGTTCGGTGAAGACATTCTCTCTTTTGTTCCAGCCCCCGAGATGTGTTTGTTTTTGTAACTATCTGTAGCACTCTTGAAACTCAAGATTGGTGTACAAAAGTAAAAATAGAAAGAAAGATTTCAGTGAGAAATTTTTGTATAAATACAGTAGAAACTTAGATAAAATCATATCGATTTACATTTATTTTAGCTATCCTTGGTCTGTTCATCCTCATTTATTTGTGATGGAACTTGAACATAAAAATCGACAACGCAGAAGGCTCTTTGTAATTAAGTACATAAGTACAATCTCTTAAAAGTGCTTAATTAAGCAGCTGCTTAGTTTTGGCACTGGAGTGCTCCTTTTCCACTGCTTTCCTCAGCAAGCTATCTTCTTCCAACACCATTTGAACTGGCAAGAACCCCATACCATTGGCCATAGCCAGCATCATCCTCTTGGTTTCAGCCTTGAACTCCTCCAAATCAACCGTCCCGTTGGAGTCATGATCGAACTGCAAGAACAGCGAGTCGTAGACATGAGCAATCTCTTCCGGGTTTGGCTTCACATCAATGCCATAGTGGGTCTCGAAGACCCGTAGAGACTGAAGCTCCTTCAGCATCTCTGTATAAGAAAGCAGACCATCGTGATTGGTGTCGAGACAAGCAAAACGGTCCCGTACTGAGCGGGTGAATGCTTCTTCATCTTCCACAAAGTTGACAATGGTGGCACCATCCAGCACTTCTACACTCATCTTCTCTTATGCTAGCCTGGGAATTGATCACAAGGAAATTAGGATTGATTTGTATTTTGGTTGCAAATTAAAGAAGTGATGGAATGCTAAGTATTTATAAACACATGCATGGGGCACTAAGTTTTTTGTTTTCTTTTTGGCCCCTTGTTTCTGTAATCCATAAGTTTTATGGACTTTGTTTCTGTGAAGTTGATGGATAAACGTTTTACCTACTTTACAAGCGGCTAGCCAATTAAACGGAAAAAATAGACAACCAACTTGCAAGTGCTGGCTTAAAGTAATAGTACGACGGTTGAATTTTATGAGAGAGGATCCTCACTGGATCTTTGAGAATTCTTCAATCACATTCGTTCATCGTACATCGTGTGGTCAATAATGTACGATGAACAAATGTAATTGGAGAATCTTCGGAATCCTCACAAAGAATCATCTCTCAAATTTTATGAGTAGTTACGACTGCCCAATCTTTCGTTTTTTACCAACTACTGTTTGCTTCTAGTTTTTTTCACCTTATGTACTGGTTTGCTAAATTTGTTTAATAGTTCGGATTAGTTATGAGCGATTATAATTGAATTGAGAGAAAAAAAACATTTTTTTTCTTACTCTCACCAATTCAATTGATTAAATGACGAACTACTCGGGGACTATAAATACAAATCCTACTTTAAGTCAAATAACTTGAATTCGTACATATTCTGACCTTGGAATTCATATAAATAGGATGAGGATTCTTTCGGAATTCTCTTCGTGGGGATCTAGGGATCCTCACATCATGCTCGTTTATTGTATATTTTACGATCAGTTTTTGTTAGGTGCTATTTGTGTTTAATTCTAAACAAAAAATTTTAAAATAATTTATGACTGCATAATGTACGATAAACGGCTAGATGTGAAGATACCTAAGCTCTTCACAATTTGGATTCGAATGAGATCCAAATCCATATAAATATTTATTTATATTATATATATATATAATTCTAGATAGTTATATTACATTAATTAATATTAAAATGAAACAACTAGATGTCTTCAAGTTTTGAAAAAAAATATTGTTATTTGAACCTTCCTATCCAATTGGCCCTAGACAATTCTGGAAGGTCGAATTCAGAATAATTTGACCACGCACACAGATTAAGCTGGTGATGAACTGACGCGTGGGCAAACCGAGCAGAAAATCAACTTCGGTGAGAAAACCCACAGATTTTGCATATTACTGTGTGTGTTATTATTTCTCTTACTTTTAGTCTCAAGACAAAATATGTACAAGGGGCAATATTGTAATTACATCATCTAGAGATATTACTTAGTGGTTAAGAAATCGGTTAGTTTGTTGTATTTGCTTCCTTTAGTGGTTACAAGATACTTGTGTGTGTGTGTGTATATATATATCAAAAGTACGTATAACATTATTCTCTTGAGAAATGAAATCATTTTTGCCAAATATAGTATCACATGCCTTTTTGTTTAACGACTTCTCTCTCTTCGATCCAAACACTGCCGCTTCTCTCTGATTTCTTGATCGATTCTTCAATCGTGTTCGAGCTCTTCGAGCTTTCATCATCAATTTGGCAATGGTATCCCCTTTGTTGGAATCGGCTTCTCCAGTTCATCCTCTTCCAATTGCACCTCCAAACCCTAATTCTTTAAGCTCTGCATCAATCACGATCCAAAACATCGGATCTATGGTGCCAATCAAGCTCACCACCACAAATTACTTGACATGGAGTGCTCTCTTTGCTCTAATCTTTCATCACTACAACCTTACCGGTCTCATTGATGGATCTATGGCGGCGCCGCCTCAATTTCTTTTTGATTCTTTAGGAAATCACACTTTCAATCTTACCTATGTTTCTTGGTATGAGAATGATCAAAATATTCTCATTTGGATCAACTCCACGCTCTTTAAATCCCTAATTCCCTATACCTTTGGTGTGAATTCAGCTCGTGAACTTTGGGCGAAATTGGAATCAAGACTTGCCACGGCCTCTCAATTTCACATCCATGAGCTTCGATCTTGCCTTCGTAATCTTACCAAAGGTGATTCCACTGCTGCTCAATATCTTCAACAAACTGAGGTAATTGTTGATGCCCTTGCCATTGCTCGCTCTCCGATTGAATATTCTGATCTGATCTCTGTCACTCTACATGGTCTTCCCCTTGAGTATGATTCGTTTGTTGATGCTATTCAATTTTGACTCAGATCTACAACCATTGATGAACTACATGATTTGCTTCTTAGCAAAGAGATACAATTGGCTAATTGCAAGAAAAACACCTCTGAATCATCATCTTTTTAGGCTCTTAATACTTATGCTGGCATTCTTCCACTTCTTGCACCAAACCTTAACTTTCAGGCGTTTATTGCTCAATATCCTTCTACCTTTAACAATCAAGGTCGTGAAACGGATTGCACTTACAATCATGGCAATCTTAATCGCAACAATTATAGATCCTATAATAATATGAGATTAACCAATTATAATCGCCAGAACACCACTAATCAGCATTATAATCGTGGAGGTTGAAACAATTTTCCTTTTTACAACAAGAAGAATTTTTGCCAGAACTATCATTAGTTTGATCATGAGGCATATGATTGCCTTTATCGCATGAATCCGACCTATGGTGGAAAAGCCTCTCATTCAACAATGGTTGCTAACACCTCATCCTCAAATCTTACTTGGATTGTCGACTTCGGAGCCACATCACACATGACAAACTCCTATGCAACTGTGCAAAATCCTGAAGCTTACATTGGTCCAGAACAAGTATACATTGGTGATGACAAAGTTTGCCCATCACTCACTCTGGCTCTACTATTTTGAATACTTCTACTAGTGCGTTTAAACTCAATATAGTGTTATATGTGCCTGATTTGCAACATAATCTTCTCTCAGCAAATCAATTTTTGATTGATAATCAATGTTCTCTGCATTTTTATCCTTCTCACTTCACTGTGAATGATCTTTATTTAGGGATGATGCGTTTTAAAGGACCTGTCCAACAAGGTTTCTATCATTTCCATTTATACTCTTGTATAAATGGTCATCATAAGGCACTCACTGCATCTATAAAGGATTCAAGGGATGTCGGGCACCAATGATTTGGCCACCCCTTTGTCAAGATTCTAAATAAGCTTGCCTTGCAGTCTTGTATTTTAGTTTTAGCTTATACAAATAAGTCATTTTGCTTAGATTGTGCATTAGGAAAATGTTCTAGGCTTCTTTTTGTCTCTACAATTTGTACAACTAGCAAGCCTCTAGAATTTATTCACATGGACGTTAGGGGACCATCACCTATAGCTTCTTCTCAAGGTTTTAGGTATTATGTCATTTTTGTGGATGACTATACTCGATATTGTTGGTTATTTCCTTTGAAATACAAGTTTGATGTACTGTCAACTTTTAGGTAATACAAGTCTTTGGTTGAAAACTCTTTGTGTACAAAGATTATTGCTTTAAGGTTCTAGTGGAGAGTACTTGGGTAGTAATTTCTCAACTTTCTTGGCTACACATGGTATTCAACATCAACTCACTTGCCCCCACACCTTTGAACAAAATGGGTGTGCATAACGCAAGCATCACCATTTAGTTGAAATTGCTCGCACTCTTTTGGTAGCTTCTAAAGTATCTCACATCTACTGGGTTGAGGCATTTCACACAACAATTTATCTTATTAACAGATTGCCCACTACATCAAGACCATTTCCTTGGGAATTTCTGTATCAAAACTACAATTTTTTGAAAGTTTTTGGTTGCGCTTGTTTCCTATGGTTAAAGCCTTACACTTCCCCAAAGTTGGATCCCAAGAGTAAGGCTTGTGTATTTCTCGGCTACAATTTGAATCATAAGGATTACAAGTGTCTTGATCATACAACCAACATAGTGTACATTTCAAGGCACGTTCTATTTAATGAATCCAGCTTCCTATTTCACCATATATCAACCTCCTCACCCCCACCTCCAACCTTACATACTAGTGCCAAATCAACCATTCTATCCACCCTTACCTTTACATTTCCTATTTCTCCTACACCTGTTCATACCACTTCAACCTCACCTAATCTGTCCTCCTCACTTCAACTTACCATTTCACATATCAATTCTCCTAATACAACCTCAAGCTTTCTAGCGGCAGTTCTATAATCTATTACCACCAACCCCATTCCACCAATTACCACTTATCCAATGCAAACAAGTTCTAAGTCTGGCATCTTCAAACTTAAAGCCCTGACTGCCACTAAACACCCATTGCCCTATCATCTCTCAGTGAACTATATACCCAAAACTTACCTTCAAGCCTCAACGTTCCTTCATTGGAGCCAAGTGATACAAGCAGAAGTCAATGCCCTTATCAACAATGGCACATGGTCTATTGTCCCTAAGTCTTCAACACAAAATATTGTAGGCTGCAAGTGGGTTTTCCGAATCAAGAGAAAGCCTGATGGCATTATAGATGGGTACAAAACCTGGCTAGTTGCCAAGGGTTTCAATCAACATGAAGATTTAGATTACACTGAAACCTTCAGTTCTATAGCCAAACCAGTTACTATTAGACTTCTACTTACTCTTGCAACTTAATATGATTGGTTTTTAAACCAACTTGATGTTAGCATTGCCTTCTTACATGGGACACTCACTGAATCAGTTTTCATGCAATAACTTCTTGGTTTTGAAGATTCTACTAAGCCATCTCATGTATGTCACTTGCATAAATCCTTGTATGGTTTAAAACAAGGTCCAAGAGCTTAGTATGAAAAGCTTTATGGTGCTCTTCACTCTCTTGGCTTTGTAGGTTCTAATAGTGACCATTCTCTATTTATCAAAAAGGCTCCAAATGTGGTTTTCATCCTAGTCTATGTTGATGATATTTTGGTCACTGGTCAAAATTTTGCAGCATGTCGAAAAGTAATTCAGCATATTAGCTGTATGTTCCCAATTAAGGATCTTGAACCTCTTCATTACTCTCTTGGACTTGAAGTTAAAAGATCCTCATCAGGTATATCCATATCTTAGACCCAATACATATTGAATTTGTTATCCAAAGCCAACATAACTGGTGCCAAAAACCATGCAGTACACCACTCATCACCTCTAAACTTGATCATGAATCTCCCTTATTTGAAAATGTTTATGAGTATCATTCTTAGTTAGTGCTCTCTAATATCTTACATGGACAAGACCAGATCTCAGTTTTGTAGTCAATCTTGTCTGCCAATATATGCACAATCCCATAATTTCACATTGTCAGGCAGTCAAGAGAATCCTCAGGTATCTTAAGGGTTCTATCAATCTTAGTTTATGGTTCTCGAAGTGTTCCACCACTCCCACCATCACAGCTTTCTTAGATGTCGATTAGGCTGGCTGTGCTCTAGATAGAAGATCAACTGGAGGTTATTGTGTTTTTTTGGGAAATTCACTGATTAGTTGGAGTGCTAAGAAGCAACCAACTATTGCATGATCTTCCATAGAGGCAGAGTATAGATCTCTTGCCAACACTGTGTTTGAGATTACCTAAATATGTCAACTGTTGGTTGAGAATGACTAGTGCTTGCCAAGTTCTCCCCAACTCTAGTGTGACAACATTTCTGCCATATCTCTTGCCAAGAACCCTATTTTTCATGGTTAGACAAAGCATGTAGAAATATACTATCATTACATTCGGGAAAAAGTCTTGGCTAAACAAATTTCTATGCATTTTGTTTGTAATCAAGATCAGGTGGCTGATATTTGCACTAAGTCTTTGTCTAAGTCCAAATTTATATTTCTTCATGACAAACTTCAACTTTGAATTCCTAAGTTTCGTTTGAGGGGGGATATAAGGGGCAATATTGAAACTACACCATCTAGAGATATTACTTAATGGTTAATAAATTTGCTAGTTTGTTGTATTTGCTTCCCTTAGTGGTTACAAGATACTTTGTATATATATATACCAAAGGTGTAACATTATTCTCTTGAGAAATGAAATCATTTTTACCAAATAATATGAAATCATAATACTCGGAAAGAAGAAGAAAGAAAAAGAACGATAAAAACTATAAAGACGTCGCTTTCATTTTTGTACGAGTCTTGTGATTCAGTTCAGTTGATTTTAAGCATTCTTTTATTACTCAAAATTCTGATTTTATTTTTGAATATGGTATGTTTTTGAAACAAAGATATTACCTAGAAAGCATTAAAAAAAAGGATGGAAAAGGCTGAAAAAGGAGAGAAAACAGTATACCAAAAATGGCTTACAACGAAGTAGAGCAAAAAAAGAGTAGAAAATATTTGAAGACGATTTTTGTCAATTATAAGTTGGTTGAAGTTGTATGAGATGAGCAATTGGTATAAATTGCAATTGGCAGGCTCCCCATATCTCCCTATCCTTTCAAGATAGACACTCATGCATGAACACGACTATTTGTACAGGGTAGTCCCCATCATCCTTCTCTCACTGACTCACTCTATATGCTCAAGGCATGTGTAAAATTTGACATGGAGAGCCCTCCCTCCCTCCTTCTCCCACCCAAGTAAATGAGATATGATCATAACATCAAAGTTACAATGTCATTCAATTTACGTCACTCATGACGCTAATATCATCTATATTTTCTATCCTAATTCCATATCATCTATCTTGGTTCTAATCTACAAATTACTTTGAAAGTATTCCATGTTGAAAATGGAAGTCTTGTTTAGTGTTTAACAAAAGCAGTGCATATATGTCCACTCATCGTTGATTGATTTTGCAATGAACGCGCACATTCTCAATTTTTCTAATACCAAATTAAATAGCCTTAACACTTTAACACATAGCTTGTCCTCATCAATATTATTATTCAGAAAAAGAAAATTAATGAAGCAAAAGCAATGAGAAGTACAGTCCAGTTATTAAGAAAATATATACGTGTTTTAAATTTAATAAATTTGGGGAGGCAACTCAACCTCCAACTACACAGATGGTACATATACACAATTCCCAAGTATAGATTTATCGTACACTGCCCTCTATTTCTCTCTATAAATAGAGGCAAGAATGCTCCTCAATTCCCAAGTATTATACTTTCTTTTCAATTGATCAAAATGGTTTGGCTTTTTAGTCAAAATGGTTCATGAGATTTACATAACACATTTTTTTGGTCCCTGAGATTGAAAATCAATAGAAATGGTCCCTGAGATTGTCCACCATCCATTATTTTGGTCATTCTGTTAAAAACTCCGTTAAGTGTTCCGGAACTCTTAGCTGGAAGTTTGGGCAATTTTCAAAGCTTTGTAATTCAATCGTTTCTTAACCAAATTTGACCCATAATATATCAAAATGAAGATAGTAAAGTGTAGAACAAGATTATACCTATTTGGAAGCCTAATGGTTGATAGCTTGAAATGTGACTGGTCCGCGGGAAAACTGGAAAACTCGTCGGAAACTGGGTAAACTTTAAATGTTTATAACTTCTTCAATACTCAACGAAATCAAGTGATTCAAAAACAAAAATCATACTTCTCAACGAGATGAAGAGAATGTTACATTTCTTGATTGGTAATTCATCGTGGTTTGGCCGGAAAACGGCTCAAAAGTGGCTAACTCAAGACCAAAACAGCTACTTTTGAGCAGTTTTCTGGCCAAACCACGGTAAGTTAGCCATAAAAAAAGGTATCATTCTCTTTGTCTCATCGAGAAGTATGATTTTCATTTTTCAATCAATTGATTTCGTTGAGTATTAAAGAAGTTATGAACGTTTAAAGTTTACCCAGTTTTCCCACGGACCAGTCACCTTTCAGGCTATTTTCTCGCCATCTCTAGCAACCATTGGGCTTCCAAATAGGTATAATCTTGTTATACACTTTCCTATCTTCATTTTGATATATTATGGGTCGAATTTATTGGTTAAGAAACGATTGAGTTACGAAGCTTTGAAAATTGCCCAAACTTCCAGCCAAGAGCTCTGGAACAGTTAACAGAGTTTTTAATGGAATGACCAAAATAATGGATGGTGGACAATCTCATGGATCATTCCTATTGATTTTCAATCTTAGGGACCAAAATGATGTGTTATACAAATCTCAGTAACCATTTGGCTAAAAAGCCAAATGGTTTCCAAGACTTTCATTTACTTTTGTCTTTTGCTTGTCATTGTCCTTCTCATTTCCTCTGAAGTGGCCACAGACGGTGAGCCTAATTTTCCCTTCAAATATTTGTAGAAATTGTATAGTGCTACCTAGTGTCACCAAAGTTGCTAAGCAAATAAAGTTATATATACACAATTCGTGAGCTTAATTCGTTGTACTTTCCACGACAATAATACTATAACTTCATTTACCAAATGAACATACGCAAGTGTTTTGCTCAAAATTAAATTAGGTTCTTAAATTCAAAAGATTTGAATAAATGAAACATTGTCACGTCATTTAAACATATGTTCATTACCTGACTTGCAGCTGCAGAGGCCACTATGAATCCCAATGGTGTACGTGATGCCAAGTATGGTGGCGGGTACCAAGGAGATCCTGGGCGAGGCGAGTATGGTGGCGGGTATCAAGGAGATCCTGGGCGAGGCGGGTATGGTGGCTACCCAGGTCGTGGTGGATATGGCAGTCGTGGGGGTTTTGGTGGAGGAGGTCGTGGCAGAAATGGAGGAGGGCGTTGCTACTATGGTTGCTGCAGATGGAGTTACAGTGGAAGAGAGTGCGTAAGGTGCTGCAATCATCCTGGTCAAGCTGTTGATACACAGCCTCACAACCAGTCCATTAGTTAATTAGGCTTCTGCATGCCCATGCATGCAGTGTGCTTAATTAATTAACTAATTAAATGGATATTATGTTGTATTGCATGTGCTTGATATGCTTGAAGCACTTCCCTTAGGTCGTATTCCTATGTATGAATCGAATAAAACTCCACTAGTGAGAGGCAATAAATATTAAAATTAATTAATCACGAGTGCTAGCTGGGTGGAATATTTCTACTCAGTTATACACTTAAGGTTTGACCGCTCTTTAATTAATTTTGTGATCAAATTCAAGTACTTGTGTAATGCAATGTCATCGATCGATGATATACGAAATCAGTGACAGATATAAGTAATGTTTGTATGTACTTTGTTCATTCTCTTTTGTTCTACTTCATTTTATTTTTCGGAATAGGGTTGGGAAATTAAGTTAGCGGGATATGTGTTTAGAGAGAAAGAGCACATAAAAAACCTAGAGGAATGATACCATACGAATTTGGAGAATTATATAATTAAAATTATTACATAAACCTTAGGGGTTAAGATACAAGAGGCAACTTGGTTTATGAGATATTAAGAATACAAATACATACAACTAGGGTAAGTTATCATCTCCTAACTTTAGGAGGAGATAGAATCATTAGAAGATTTTCCAACACTGCTCTTATTAGCTGGTACAGGAACACTGATCTCTGTTCATCTTGGATGTCAGATATCACTGAGGAGATCACCGGACTCATGCACCATACCACCACCATACTGCAAATATATAGGAAACAATTTACATAACGTTGATTCATTATATAATGATGTTCTAATATAAAATTGATCAGGTGGATTCTAGTCCGTGTATTTGAAGCTGGTCTAAGACTGTTCTTACATTTTCCACTACGTTAATTTGTACTTTCCGAAGCTTTGGATCCTGAACTTTTTTCTCTTCCTTGCAATTTCAAAATCTTCGAAAACAAAAAATGAGTTTAATGGAGTCGAACCAATCCAAACCCTGTACCTATTAGTAACTGGTATATCTGTTGTGGCTTTCACTGACGAAGGTGTAACAAGCTCTCAGATTTACTCTTTGAAGATTATTATGGGTTTATCTGCTTTTGAAAATCCGACATTGGGTGCTGAAAGAATCATGTTAGTTCACAGAGGTGACCCCCATAGGCAAGGCGAGGCATGCGCCTTGGGTCTCGCTTTAAATTAAGTCTTACATTTTCTTCATGCCCTTGTTGTATATTATAAAATTTTCGCCATTCATTTTATTCTTGACTCGAAATAAAGAAAAATAAATTTCTCATTCTCATAAATCTAATGCATCACAAATTCATATTGTTGTGAAAAAGTTATATTATGGTACTAAATTGGGAATGCCTCAATTCATTTTCGTCTTAGACCTCAGTTTGCATGAGGGCGGCTCTGGTAGTTGGATAACTGCATTTTAGCAATAATACCCATTGTTTGCTTTATTTTGTTATTGTACCATGAACTTATTATAGTAATAATCAAGGAAGAAAATATCGGTAATATCGGAAATATCGGTAGTCTGAAAACACGGAAATATCGATGGAAATATCGGGATAATATCGATATCGATAAAAATTACATGGAAACCACGGAAATTGTAAGAAAAACTTGGAAATTTTTAATGAAACTTTGTAGGATGTTTATTTAGTCAATTATCTATTAGTTTATCACAAAAAATTGGAAGGAAATGCATTGCATGATGGATTTAATTGATTTAAGTTGATTATATAGCGAGCTGGCAAACATTGTGAGTGTAGAAAATATGTAGTAATTAATGAAAGAAGTTTAAACACACCATAATCATTTATATATAATTAATTAGTACAATATTTGGAGGTTTTATTTAGGATATTTAAAAAAAAAAAAAGGGAAGTGAATAAAATGATGAAGAATAATGTGCCGAATTTGACACTTTAAATTTCTTACACATAAGCATGCGTCTAGGCGTTGAAGTTCCAAATTATAGTATATCAATTAACGATTGAAAATCAATACATTGAATAAGACTAAACTTTAATTTGGATGCCGATTATGTTTTTTCAAGTTTATATAAAGTAAAAGAATTGAATTTTGGAAGCCAGGAGTGTGTCAATTGAATTTTGGCCGGCGTGCAAGGTATCAATCTCTTCGTCTCGTCGAGTAGTACAACTTTCCTTTTTGTTTCACTCAATTTCGTTGAGTATTGAAAAAGTTATACTCATTTGAATCTTACCCAGTTTCCGGCGACCTCAGTGGCTTTAAAGGCAATTTCCGGCCAAACCACAACGAGTCAGACGTCGTGTGAGGTACCATTCTCTTCGTCTCTTCGAGGGATACAACTTTCCTTTTTGTTTCACTCAATTTCGTTGCTTATTAAAAAAGTTATACTCATTTGAATCTTACCCAGTTTCCGGCGACCTCAGTGGCTTTCGAGACAATTTCCGGCCAAACCACGGCGATTTGACCGGCATTCAAGGTATCAATCTCTTCGTCTCGTCGAGTAGTACAACTTTCCTTTTTGTTTCACTCAATTTCGTTGAGTATTGAAAAAGTTATACTCATTTGAATCTTACCCAGTTTCCGGCGACCTCAGTGACTTTCGAGGAATTTTCCGGCCAAACCACGACGATTCAGACGTCGTGTGAGGTACCATTCTCTTTTTCTCTTCGAGGGCTACAACTTTCGTTTTTGTCTTGCTTGATTTCGTTGAGTTTTGACAAAGTTATGGCTGTTTAAAGTGGGTGTAAATTTTCGACCGAAAATTCTGATTTTCTCTTCCATTGGGCGAGTCCCACATCGCCCATGTGAGTGCAGTGAGCAAGCAAATTTTCCTATAAAACCCACATCCCCCTGCTAAGAAAATCCAAGCTTGTTCGGCCTTTGGGCTATGATCAAGTGAAGTATGTGTTGAGTTTTCTCAACATATTTAAGTATATTTTAGTATTATGTTGCGATATTATCGATAATATCAAAAATATCGCGATATTATCGATAATATCGTGATATTTTGACGAAAATCATTTGGATAGTTAAAAAAATTTCGGACCTCCAAAAAAACGATAATATTGGCGATATTTCGCCGATATTATCGATATTTTCTTCCTTAATAATTAAAGGAATGTCTACTTTTCTATTGAATTATTTGGGAAAAAAAAAGGAATTTTCAGGGAGTGTTTTGCATTCTTTAATCACAAGCGTTAGCAAATTCTACGTGAAGTAGCACTTGGATCAACAGGATTAACAGCATTCCAGCATGTGTAAATTAGGATATAAATTTTAGATCTCGTCAAATGGGTCTTTCCGATGGAGGCGTGTCAGATTTGGTGGTGGATGTGTTAGAGTATATTAGTGGTCAAGATTGTGACATGTGTCATTGGATTATATGAGTTGAGATAGATAGGTTGACAAGTATTTATAGTGAAATATCTCTTGTAATAGATGTGAACTGAAGAAATAAAAAATCAGTTACAATTTTCCCTCTCTTTCTAAGCTTTCTCTCTTTCTCTCTCTAGTCTTTCCTGATCTTTCAGATTCCACAGCTATTGTTAACATGGTATCAGAGCCGATCACGGGTAACACCATTGATTGACGATCCTCTGCTTTCGCATTGTTTTGTTGTTCTCGTCGTTCGTCGTTCGTCGTTGATTGGCTTTACTGCTCGTCGTTTGCGTCGGTTGTTGAAGGTTGCTGGTGCGATTGATTGTCGGTTGCGTCGCGAATTCTATCTTTTGGAGTTCTTCGATTCGTCGCTGGTGTTTCGGCGGCTGCATTCTTTCATCTTTGAGCTTCAGGAAGGTGATCTTGTTTCTTCTCATACCTACTGCAGTATTCTTGCGATATTGATAATCTTGATCCCGTATTGTCTGAAAACCCTAGATTGTGGAATCTTGATCCCGTATTGTCTGAAAACCCTAGATTGTGGAATTTTGATTTCTGCGATTGTACCGTCATTTGTGGATTGCTTCTGAGTGTGCATTGTGTATATTTGCATTACTTGCTTGCTTTGTGGTATTTTCTGGTTAAACAATGGTTACAACGGCTCAATTGGCTCTTACTCAATCCCCAATTTCGTCTCTCATTCCCACTGTGGGTAATATTGTCACTGTCAAACTTGATGATTCTAACTATGTGACTTGGAATTTTCAAATGGAGTTATTGCTGGATGGCAATGGCATTTTTGGTTTTCTTGATGGATCTGTTGTATGTCCTGATAAGACTGAGTTGAATTCTGATGCTTATGATGTTTGGAAGATACATGATAAGGCTTTAATGACGCTTATTACTGCTACCCTGTCAACTGCTGCTTTATCATGTGTTATTGGGTGTAAGAGTTCTAAGGAAATGTGGACTAGTCTTCGAGAAAGATTTGCAAATATGACTCGGACCAGTATTGTTCAAATGAAGATTGATCTTCAGAATATTAGGAAAGGTTCTGAATCCATTGATGCATATCTTCAGAGAATTAAAGATGCTAGGGATCATTTAGCTGCTGTTGGGGTTGGGGTTGTTATTTCTGATGAGGACATTGCTATTGTTGCATTGCGGGGGTTACCTCCTGAGTATAACACTATTAAGTCTGTCATTCGTGGACGAGAAACATTGGTCTCTCTAAAGGAACTGCGGTCTCAACTGAAAGCTGAAGAAGATACGTTGAATGAAGTCACTAAGCAAGTTCCTCTTATGTCTGCTATGTTGGCTCATAAGTCTTCCTTTGCGTATGAAACTGGAGGTATCTCTGGTACTAAGGATGGTTCATCTAGCAACTATGTTGGCTCTCAGTCACCATATTCCTATGTGCCTCTTCAACAACCTCCTCAGTATTCTCCTATTCCTTTCTCACAACCTTTTTCACAGCCCCAATTACCCTATCCTCAGTTTCACCAACTTCCTTTTCCTGGACCCCTGGCTTTTGTCTCTCAAAGTGGTTCCGGTACATACAATAATTTCAGAGGGAATAATTTCAAACACAAAGGCAAAGGCAAGAAGTTTTATCAGGGTAATCAAGGCCAGTTTCCACAACAGTT